GGGGGGGGGGGGGGGGGAGAGTAATCATGAATGTTGAACAAGTAGTTTAGGCACTCGCTGGACCGTACGCGAGCCAATCTAGTGATACGAAACACGGGAGTGTCGGCCACCATTTTGACTGCGCTGAGGTTATTGCAACTACTACTTTGATCAACTCTGTTACCACTGGAGAATTAGGATATCCGAGTGATAATTTTGATGATCAGTTGGTCTCGGAAGATTAACTGATCATTTGTGATACTGTGATTGTGTTTGGTCTGTGATTGTGTTGTCCGTTGGTCAGCGATTGAATTATGATAAGTGGGTCGTGCCGTGCAGGATCAGACGTCGGCGATTACGTGTTGTTTTTTGTTTTCGGTTTACTGGAATGCGGAGGCTGTGGTCCATCAAAAATAATGCGCGGGGGCAGCAGGTGAGGGCTATGGCGAGGGCTGTGTGGGGATCAGGGTATTGTGGGAATGAAAACACGGAGCTGGAGCGTGTGCATTGTTGAGGGGTGAGGACTTTGGGCTTGATGGGAATCTGGGAATTTATCAATCCCAGTTATGCCAATTAATCCCATGAATTCATCTTTGAAATTGGTTGTCGGTGGGAATTGCCGTGAGAATTCCAGAAATGCTCGCGGTATGGGGAAATTTCGGGGAACTTGGTGATGTCGGGGAAGCATACTGCAGATATTAACATTGATATTAATCTGGTTTACTGAGGTAATAGACAACATTGGGATAATAGATGATTGGAAAATGTGGACGAGTGTATTGATTTTCTGAAGATTCGGAAAGGTCTCTTCGTTACTCGTGCGCGCGTGTGTACTAGTGTAGGTTGTACCAGTAATGTGATCTTCATATCGTTATTGAGGAGAAGAAACAAATAACAAAAATACAGGGGTTGTTGGTTTAATTTGCAAGCTCGGGATTCATTGGCATTCGCGGGCTTTCTTCACTACTGGGTTTACCTGTGCCAAATTACATTGACATTCACCGCGGGGGGGAATGAAAAGCACGAGTGTTGTCGCTATTTACGGAGTACGTGAGGTTGAAGTTGTGAATAGTGAGACTATCCGATGGATAAATCGGCTTTGGTACATTACGATCTTGTGGTGCGAGTGATGTTGCTGCTGTGATGGAGACCAAGTGACCGTTTTAGGCGGATTGGATTGATGATTCCGGTGGAATCGGTTTTTGATTTTTTTTTTGTTTTTTCTTGAGTGATTTGTGGAGTAATGCGCGAGTGACTGGCTCTTTTGAGGATTAAAGCACACTGGGGGCTGTTGTCATCGGGATTACATGTGAGTTTGTTACTACGTCGGGAGCTAAAATAAGAAGTACATGCACGGTTCTTGGGAATTTTTATCGCTGGGTCGGGGGACAGCTCAAGGGTCTCGTCAGTGAAATTTTGAATTTCATGGTGGATGCGATGGAAACTGCGGATCAGAGATCGGAATAATCGTCAATTTCAAAATAAGTTCAGTTTGACTTCTGTT